CGCAGTTTGTTTGCTCTGATGGAAATGGCCTTCAAAGCCACACAGGACTCTTTGAAAGAAGGCAGGTGGCAGCAGGCGGCAGTGGCCATGGGGTGTGGGGCGGAGGCGGGGCAGGAGCAGCTCCGGGGCTGAAGCTCGGAGCACAGCTCGCAGCTCTGGGCGAACCCCGCCTTGGCCTAGGCCTCTGTGGCAGGTTCCTCGGTCCCCGAAGCCACAGGGCAATTCTCAAGCCTGAAACCAGTGGTGGGTGGAAAATATCAAATCTACCTCCACCCTGCCACCAAGTGTATTAACGATCACGTAAGTACACCTATAAAGTATCTGACATCAGGTTAAAAAAACAAGGTGGGAGATTCCACTCTGAACAATTTCTCAGGAATAAAAAGGCCACGGACTCACTCATTTATTCCTCAAACCTTCTGGGGCCCCTGTATTGCGCCGGACATAGCACTGGGGACAAAGGTGGGAGACTCTGGCCCTGCCCTCAAGCGGTTCATAAGCTGGTGAGAACTGCCAGCACACAGAGGCCACTAACCATCGTGGGACATAGAGAAAGTGTGACAGACAGGAAAACTGACACTTACATTGTGGCTAATTTAACAAGTTAGAAAAGAGCCAGAAACGTGCTCCATATGGGATTTCAACTCCAGGCTCTTCCTGTCCACTGAGCGCTGCTGAGCGCTGCTCTGCTTTGCAGGCCGTGCCCCTCACTTCCGGCCCTCGGGCTTGCTAACAGGCAGCTGTTTTAGACCCAGGAAACTCCGCTTGCCAGAGGTCCCCAGCACTGCGGATAGATGCTCAAACAGGGCAGCACAGAAGCAGGCAGTCTGTGACCGCGTAAGAAAAGACCGTACTCTTGCAGCTCTTAGAAAGGAAAAACCTTTTGTCCAATTGCTTTAGTTCAATAACATTTTACTCTACTTTAAAAAAAAAACTACAGACAGACCCATTTATTTCCAGAAAGATATTGGAGGTCGGTCCATCTACTTCTCTGTGTTGGCAATATATTATTTTAGTTTACTTCCAGCAAGGACACGTAAGATTTCATAAATACATTTACCTTTATGGCCAAATACAGTCTACACACTTCTCAAAGACAGGCATTAATTTTAAACATTGGCTGAAAGCCCACCTCACCCTGGATGGAAGCACCACCATCGCTGTTACTATTCCTCCTCCCTCCTCCTGCCACCACTACTAAAAAGGAGGGGCTGGTATAGACCGGCCTCCCCGTCACGCCTGGACCTGTGCTGGGTCCCTCACAACCGTTATCTCACTAACTTCCCACGGCAACCCCGGAGGCGGGGACTGCCACCCCAGTTTATAGACGAGAGGTCAGAGAGGTTAGGCAGTGAAGCCATACCACTTGCAGATGGTGGAGTCTGAACGCCAAAATGTGCCCGCTCTT